AAAGAAGAAACAAACTTTGAACATAAAATACTTTTTGAGTACATCAAAGAATTAGTTATTTAATATAATATAAATTAAAACTTTTAAACTTAATTTTAAATTAAAATTTTGAAATTAATAAGTATTAATGTATTCAAACTCTTATTAGTACTTTGTACTTTGAAGAGATCAATGAATCTAGGGAGAAGAAAAAATTAAGGTGTTTTAATATTAAAAATGTCAAAATATCTAATAATAATTATATAATAAATTTAATAATATTAAAATTCACACCATATCTTACATATTCTATAACTATTATTGAATATTCTGAAACTTTTAATTTCAGAACATCATGATTTTCCCCTTTCTCATGAAACTATATATTGTTGTTAGAAAAATAGAAACACAAAGTTTGGCACTTCACCTCACAAAAATTCCTCTTTCTGGGCTATGATTGACTCACGGCCCAAAGGAAGTCCAAATATACCAGATTTTATAAACCATCTATATATGAATGGACAATGGCCCAATAACTGTGAAAAAGGTATCAATCATTTTAGGCCAGTTATTCCCCACTAAGCTTCGGCTCCAAAGTCCAAAGCCCAAGCCCAAGCCCAAGATCCGGGCCAGTCCGATTCAACCTTTATTTTGTTAATTCAATTGCGCAAGGGTAACGTGTTTTTTAATAATGTCGTCTCTCCTTTTTTCTTTTTTCTTTTTTTTTTTTTGTGAAAAGCTAATGTCGTCTCTCTTTGTTTATACTTTCATCTTTTTAATAGCTAATACTAAACAAAACCAAAAATATTTTATTTATAACAAAACAAAAAGGTATTTTTTTAGATCAATTTGTAAGAAAAATATGTGTGAAATTACTTGTAAAATTATTTAAACATTTTTAATAAATTACACATGTATATTAATTTATTATTAATATTTACGTATCTTTATAAATATTCATATTTTTTTCCTACATGTTGACTTAAAAATCTACATTCTTATAACAAAATTACATATATTAGTGATTATGATTAACATTTTTATACTTAGTAAGACATGTGGCTTGATGCATATATCTATTTAATATCATATTATTACTAGCTAGCTGATATTAAAAAACTCATATAGCAATAATTATGGTGACTAAAAAGTTGGTCCTCTTGAATCATGCTCTTTGGGCGGTTAGTAATGGATGACAGAAAACAATGCAACGAATCAAGAGAATTTGAGATAACGCAAGTGGATGATCAAGGCGAGATTAACATTCATTATGAAGCCATGATATTTAAATATAGTATAAATCAATCCCTTAAGAATGTCATATTACAATTAATTAAGTTGAAAAATATGATCTGTTGACAGATTGGGGAAAGAGGGCAGAATTGACGACCCCATTTCTGCCATTCCCATTCCCATCACTAATACTATTTCTACTTCTACGTAACAAACAATTGGCCTAAAAAAGAT